ATGTGGTTGTGTTCTCCCGGCTCACCTGACCCAAAGGTGTGACCGGTGGTTGAACCCAGCATGGTATTAATCACTGCAGCACTCCAGCCAAAGCTCATTACTCCCCTTTGTTCCCTTTTATTACCTTGTCCTCCTCTACACACTCCCCACACACTTCTGTGCGCACACACACACACACACACACACACACATCCCTCTCTCTATTCTACTACACCTCCCACCTTCATCCCACCTCATCTGTCTCCACCATCATTATCAACTTTTGCCTTCAACCCTACCCCGACTTCTTTCAGTGAGTGCATCTGCTACAAAACAATCGCTAGCTTAAGTTCCCCTCCACTCAAAAATCAGGTGCTCTTCTGGTCTCCACAGCGTGTGTTTGAATGCTGTCTGTGCAGAGTTTGACTCTAGAAGGATGTTTTCACATTCATCTGCTGAAAGTGGAAAGTTTCTCTGTGCTCACTGAAAATCTTATTATATCACGTTATTGTTCCAAGCAGACATTGTATATAGGTTATGTATATACATGTCTGGAGGGGATCTTTAACTAAATCATGCCAAAATGTACGCATGTCAAGATACTGCAAGAGTTGAGTTAACCCAAAAAAAGGACAGAGAAAGTGGTGCAGTTTCAAGCTGTCTCCTTTTCTTTAAAGCCATCATCAGGGGCAGGTAGAGGGGTCAGGAAATGCTAGCTCTGCATCACTTAGGCTGATGATGTCACAGGCCTTAACAGTTTAAGATAGAACATCAACACATATCAGCACTCAGTGCACTCAACATTATGTAAATGTTAACATTTTACGTTTCTATCAACTAGGTCAACTTTGTTCTAGTTGTTTATGAGGAAGTTTCATAATGTCAGTTGATTACATGATGTTTAATGTTCATACACAGCAGAGCTGGGTTGTCTTGAGGGTTCACTTTATCTGGAAATTGAGCCTTTTTGCCTCCATAAAGAGCATTATAACCAGGACATTTCATGTGATACACAACACAACTTTTGAATACTGTTTTGGAGTAACTCTAGTCATATGTTTTAAATAAGAGCGGTTGTCCTGGTATAAAAATACCACTTCACCTGTGATATGAACTTACACCTTCCTGCTGCTCTTGATACTGCCTCCAGGGCAGATACTTTTGACTAGGCAGCAGGATAGAATGTGCATATTGGAGGCGTCCTCACAAATAAAGTGACAAAGCAGTGTTTGTTCAAAAGCCTTTTTGTGTTAGTTAAGAGGACTTGTTGGAACATTTGTGCAAGTGTGCGTAACTTAGGCATGCATTTATAGAGCTGTGTGTGTGTGTAAGGGTTATAGTGTCCTTGGTAATATCAGTGTTGGTTTGGTAATGAGCCTAATCCCAGGAGGACACAGGAGACAGAGAGGTCCAAGAGAGGGACACACGGGATGGTAAAGATGGGGAGAAAGAGGGGATGTAGCTCCAAAGTCAGAGCATGGGGCTGCAGACTCATTAGGAAAAGTCACCTTTAACTTTCTTCCTGATCCCAACTTTCTCTACTGTGTTGTCACCGTAGCGTTGTGTAACTCAAGGTGGCCTGGAGAGACCGTACTTCAGCTGAAAGGTCAAAGACATGAGGCATTTCTTATTGCCCTGTCCTTAAGCAAGACACACAACCTGTTCCTGCTTCCTCGACGTACATCACCCTGGAAAAGAGCATTAGCTTAAAATGCCTGGAATATAAATGGGGAATTGAGTAATAACACCCAGCTCTGCATCCCCGCTCTGCACGATACTTCATCTTTTGCTGAAGTAACTGAATTGATATGTCATTTAAGCCTGCATATATTCCAAATAAACATTGTGTTTTGAAACTAATTTATTGGTGGATAATTTGAATGCAAATAGCAGCAATTAATGTTCGTTGCACTCATCGGCGAGTGGCACTGCTGAGCAAGATAAAAATACGTATGATTGTCTCGCTCCAAAGAGGTAAACTAATCAGTAAGTAAAAAAACAGTCTGCTTTAATGACTCATAAGCTGTCAGTAACATCAAAGTGGGAACCTTTATGGAGTTTTTTTGGTCTAATAATTATCCTGGGAGCAGCTATTAAAGCATATTTAATAAGCGCTTTTAAAACAGGTAGACACTGCTTTTGTAGCAGAGGCTCTTTCATCTTATAGCCTGGGCTCTCTGCTAATAAGTGAGAAACTGGACATAAAAAAGTTCCAGATGCCCCACTGTCGCCCCTTTTTCTCACTTTTATGGCTTTGAATTTAGTGAGCACAGACTACACAGAGACAAGGAGTGGAAGTCTAGGTTCTATAAAGTTTTCCACTCAGTGTGATTGCACAGTCTGCAACATCTCTGTGTCGATTCGAAGAACAGCAAATGAAAGAAGGGAATTATTGGAGGGTTAATCCAAGTTTTCTCACCCTTAAGTGCTGCCACTTTCTCAGTGAGAAGTCTGTTTGGACACACTAACTTCCAGAGAGCAGAGGTCGCAGAAGGAGAGCAGGAACCTGCAGGCTAGTAGACTAGATGAGACTCTACAGTCACCTGCTCCAGTCTGCAGTCCCTCTCTGTGCCAGCTGACCTGAATCCCACTCCAACTGCCCTCTGCCCCGAGCTGTAGGGCACGCTCCGTGCTCCTATTCCCCCCTCGCTCCACCACGGTCTTTCACTCTTCATTAGTGATGCTGCGGCTCGGGGCATGTAGCAGTTTTGGAATAAGGTGTTGTTTTTTTCCCCTTTAGTGAGCGTGTGAGTGAGCGTGTGAGTGAATGTGTGAGTGTAAGCTCGCCCAAACTGCTGTGGACAGAGAGAGAGAGAGAGATCATCAGAACCAGAAATACAAGGGGACAGAAGGTCACACTCACATCAATAAAAGTTTCAGTGTGTGTTGTGTTCATGTGGGAGCAACATAAGGGACTGCTAAAACAAATGACCTTTGGACAGTAACAACTGGGATACACCTTATTCACACACACACACTTTTGAAAGTCAGGAAAAGTTCTCCATTTTGCAACTTGGACAACACAAATGGAAATGTCCAGATGCAGTCCGTACAAGTTAATACATGATACTTAATACCCAGCTGCCCAGATCAGCTGTAAACAGTTTAACTCAAAATACTTTATTTGTCCCTCAAGGAGCAATGTGTACACACAGTCAATTTATTTATTATTATCTAAAAATATAAGTGACAGTGTTAGAAGACATGCACAAGGATTAAATTCAAAAGTGCAGGTGCATCTGTCTACACAACTGACTGATTTCTTGTACTGTGATTGATCAGTCTGATGACTTCTGGAACAAAACCAAACTTAACATACCTCACATTTTAACCTTTTAGTGTAAATTCATAGATTTTAAACTCTCAATGTCCCACTGAGTAAACTCCTCAAAGCTGATTTGTCTAAGCACTTGACTTTTAACCAAAGCCGCTTCCTCCTCTTAAGAAACAAAAGCACACAGGGGTGACAGCCTGTCTGTTAATGAACCTTCTGTTCGGAAAAAGAAAAAGATTAAGGAAACTCTGGTAGTGATTTGGCAGATAATAACCACAGAGACTGTTGAGACTGAGGAGAAAAAAAAAAGAGAGATGACAGAGTGAGTCTAGACAGAAAAACAGAAAAGTTGCAGCAGACTAAACTGCTGTCAGGTGATGGATGAGCAGATGGAGGTCGGGAAATTAGAAAGAGAAAGATCTAGACAAAAAAAAGTACAGAGGGAAGGAGAAAACCATTTACTTGCTGGTACACAGGCAGCAATCCACATAACTCTGTAATTTTGTCAGTAGACTTAACATTGTAAGCACCAACAAAAGAGCCATTATTTAGTTGTGTACTGTAGTTAGACCCTCTACAGCGCCGCACTATAACCAACTGGTACAATTCTGAGTTTCAGCATAAATTGACAACCAAATGAAAGTGCTGAAATTGTCATCTGTCACTTCAGTAGCGGTTTTTCAGCTGACGGGAACATTTAAAGTAAACGTTTTAAGAGTTACACTAGATGAAATGGGAATTTGCTGCTTTTACATGAGGTGGAAGTGAACACATCATTTTCTTCAACATAATTTCTGTGGATGAGAAGACACTTGACTTGATGGCATGACTTGCAAATTTCAAGTGTTCAGCAAGAAATTCTTCATAGTTTTTTTTGTTTTTTTTTTCGGAAAAACTGTGTTCAGCACTGACCAACTGATGTTTGACGATAGTGATAAAGAAATGCACATGGGAGTATTAAAATATAATAATGGTGAATTATACACAGTACAGACCCAAAACCACCATGTTGAACCGCCGGTACAGTAGCACCAGCTTTCCGCTAACTACCTAGCTGAAGCTAACTTTCAACATAAAACTACACCGGTCAAGTTGGCAAGCTAACACTACTTGGAAGCTGACAGACACAGGGCTCTTCTCATTTCTCTATTTTGTGGCAGCCTGTCTCCTCTCTCCTCCGTCCTCCTGCCCGTGACCCAGAAATCGATCTCAGCGTGCCATCTTGAAGGATGTCTCAATTCCTGCATCTGGAGGAGAGAGGAGGCTTGCCGGAGGAACTATGAGCGAGGATGCCCATTGACCGTGACATGTAAAAGAGGCGTGACAATGGACAGATGATGAAGATGCGCCACGCATCGTATTCGTATTCATGTTGGTTTAAAATCATGACTCCGTAGAAAGGATGTCTCATTTTGTTAAATACCTGTCGCCTCGACTCACGCCTCCTCTGCTCGCATACCAGTTAGGAGGGACTAAGACACAGGGAGAGGAGGCGAGGAAAGGAATTGAGGGTGTTCAAACTGAGAAATGAGAAAAGGGAACAGCTTCTGCCTTTTATTATCTAACATTATTCTCATCTTCAAATCCATGCCTCTTGCTTTCATCAATAACCACAATGGGAATTATATATTGTTTTTATACCTGGGGTGTATTTATCTCTGTGAGCCCTCTGGATTATTCAGAGTTATCCTGTTTTAATTTTAAGAAACATTGGATTATAATCAAGCCATTTTCCTCTGTCTTCCAGATTTTGGTGAACTCCATCTCCCAGCCTGCCTTGCTGTATGAGAATGTGGTGGTGAGCAAAGGGAGCCCAATCCTAAGAGATCTGCTCTTCAGTCCGGAACATCAGTACTTATACGCCCTCACCGATAAACAGGTATGAGAAGCACACATAATAAGATGATCTACTGTGGCCCATAATGCAGCCTGCAGTTGCCCTTGACAACCGTAAGGAAATGAAAACTAAATATCATTTATCTTGTCTAGCGATACGTGACAGCCTATGGCATACAAATACACGCACACCTAGCTCAGTGTGTGTGTTTGCAACAATATGCACACACTGCGTCCACACTCAGATGTGTTCATATGCTCATACGAGTGTTTACAACAACACATGCAGCCTTCCTCACTACTCACAATATACAGAGTGAAGGTTATGAAGACAGTGGAATAGCACCATTAAGACTACATAAGGAAAGATGTCTTACAAACACACTGGGGGGGAGTGAGCAATCAAGCTAATTACACTCATACAGTACCAGATAAAAACTGCACAAACACAATTGCAATTCAAGCAGTATAACACACACATGCTAATTAAAATAATGAATATTAAAATGTGTCATACATATAGGATGAAGCCTCAAACCACCATTCCACCAGGGATGCAGTATATATGCAACCTTTGCATATTAATTGGAGTGAGAGATTTATTTTTAAAGTGTGACAGCCAATATTTTGCAAAGACGTGAAGATGAATTTCGCTGTGACACTTTCATGTGTGAACAGGTCTCAAGTATATATTTTGTAGAGTAAAATTATTCAGCTGAAAGATGGATTAATTCTTTTTTTTTGACAATAGTGAGTGATGCTCAGTATAAATATTTTATATTTTAAGATGCTTTATCTTATTGACATGTCTGTTCCCATAGTGACATCATCTGCAGACTAATATGTGCGATATAATCTTGCCGTCCTGGCATGTTGGATGTACGTATCTTCATTCATGAGAGTCTGATACTGCAGAGTTCGCCTCTTCTCCTTCGTTTAACTGCACGACTCTCTTATCTCATAACAGTTAATGACTGTGATGTGCTAACCTTCAACAAGACTTCACTGATACATAGACAGTAGCTGCCATGTGAGTGCTGTGTAATTTACCAGCAATTAGACATAATTGACTTCCATGTGTCTGAATAGGCACAGAGAGGAAGTGGAGTGTAATTGATACCAGCGGACAGCGTCGGTGTTGATGTGACAGGGGAAATAAGGCCCTTCGATTATGGATAGTGATCCAGGAAGCTGAAATGTACGATACAGGGAGATGCATAAATACATATCCAGGCAGAGGGAGTCCACCCACACAAACACATACATATACACAGAATCATGTATGCATGCAAAGAAAGAAAAGGTTGATTCAGAATGGGATTATATTCTCATTCTCTTAACATTTACAAAGGAGTTCAGCTGCAACATTAACAAGATTAGAAGCAGTAGAATATGTGTTCTTGGATTCAAAACACTGCAGACAGTAGAATAAGGCTAGTACAGAAGTACTAGTTATAATAAGCAATATAACAAAAAGTAGTGGCAAGAAGGTCAAAACTTTTAACAAAGATAAGAGAACACAAGAGCTTTGGGAAACCTTAGGAATATATGTTAACAGAAAAAGTGTGAGCTGTCAACAGAGACTATACGACTTAAACAATGATATCGGTTAGAAGGGTAATCCCAGCACTGGGCCTGTGTTCTGCGAGTATCTCTGTTTTAGGGAGCAGCTGCTCAACAGGATGTGTTAAGGTTCATGCCGGGAGTGTTATCAGATTTTCCCTTTTAACTCCTGTCGTCTGCATTAAAGATGACTGCCATTGCCACCAGAAAGTCTTTCAATTATTAAAGCCAGTGTTTTATTTTTGATGAGCACTGATATGTCCACTACATGCCTGCGCATGTTAGTGCAGTGACTGTAGGGAGGTCTAGTGACAGGAGAGAAGCCTCGTATAAACCACAATGCTTCCCTTCAAGATGATACATGGTGATATTTTATAAATATAGCCAGTAAAGGAATGTTACTGTGTATGTCTGGCACGGTTTTTGCTTGGGGAGGAATTGTCTTATAAAACCTGGAGAGTAGAGTACAGTTTCAGGGTAGTTCAGTCTTTGGGAAATATACTTATTTACTTTTTGCTGAGCATTTGATAAAAAGATTCATACCTCTGCCATGTTTGTTTGCCATGTTAAATCTAAGGCTACAGCCAGCATCATTAGCATAGCTTAGCATAATGAGTGAAGTAGGGGGAAACAGGTAGCTTAAAAAATACACAACACATTTAAATTTTATTAATTACCACTTTTAATTTATTTAATCATCACAGAAAGAGAATTGGAAAAACAACTAGCTGTAGGTCTGTGTGCTGTAAAGATTTCTTGGCTGGGCAGAATTACTTACACGCATAAGCATATTTCTTAAAACGTGAATTCATTTACCATTAACTGTTAAAGATATTGGGGATTTATGTAAGTTTGTCTTTTTATGTGATACTACTGTTGTAGGCTACTAGCATTTTCTGCATCAGATCTGTGCTGTGGTTTAAAATGTATCTTTTCATTCTGTGTAATTTTGTTTCTGTGAAAGTCAGAATCACACTAATTGACAGAGAGGATGAGATGGAATGACCATCTCTTTGTACAGCAGTAATGGTCTTTCACTTCTAGAGTTTCAACCTTGACCAAATTCACAGTCCAGTCAGAGAATGAAACAGAAAAGGAGAGAGAGGTAGTGAAAGCTGAGGAGGTGGGAAAATATAATTGGTTTGCAGGATATGGTCCGTTCCTTTCTGCGACTGTTCCTGCCTCATCTTTTCAATATTCTTAGGGGTCCTCACTTCTGTCTCTCTCAGATGGAGTGAGTTTGTGGAGTAACTGCTCTCCCAGTAGCGACTTCAGACAGCATAGAATAGAATGAGGATCTTCCCTCTGCTGCAGAATGTGAACTTGTGTACCAGACGGTACAGGACCAGAGTGTGTGCAGAGCCTTCCTGGCCTACTGATGAGCAGTGTCTTCCTTGCCAGAGGCTGTCTGGACTAGAGATAATGCATCGTGGTTTAAGGTCGCTGGCCAAGCCCAGGGGTGTATAAACTTCTGCTGTTTTCAAGCCAAAAAAAGTATCCAAAAGACAAACTATAGCTGTTTTCTCTGGACTTGTTTAATTGAATTCAGGGATGCAGTCCATTAAGGTAGAAATCATCAGCAATAGCACAGTTTAACCACATTTGACCAGCCGTTTAGCGACAGCTAACGTTTAAAAATGTAGCCACTTTTGCCTCCAAAATGGCTGCCATGGGTTTGCCATGCCCACAAGGGTCCAACTGTGAACCCGCTCCCTTTTGCTCAGGATGAGAATGTAACGATATTTATTTTACGTATTTATTTTTTTTTACTAGGGACAATGCACATTAATCAACACTTTAATGTAAATCTGCTGGAGGTAGCTAATAAGCTAATTGTCTTCCATATTTGCAAATGTGCTAGTAAAAATTTGCTGTCAGAGAATGTTCAATATTATAGCTATAATTTCATCCTCTATGTTTTATTAAGGACATTTGTAACTAACATTAGTACAAGCAAGTTTTGAATAAAAAACGTAATGCTAAACTTATTGCTAACGTTAGTCGGGTGTTAATAAAGAGTAGCTTGTATAGCTGATAATGTGTTTGTCAAGTTATGTGTTATTATCTTCTTCTTATCAAGAGCAGAAAGGTGCAAATAAAAAAAGAAATATTTCTCCTAAATTCAGAATATGTTTAGCTACACCTGAAAAAAGTCAATCATTCTTTTTTTTTTAGGGGAAGTAAAACAAACTACAGACACATTGATACATTATCACTATATAGAGTTGTTTTTGCTAACATGTTAGCAAATAGTTGCCTACTTACACATGTAGCCGACACAGGGGGACATTTGTATTCATCTGGGGTAATTTTTTGTGGCAAAATGTAAATGTAAGTTTCATATTAATTCTCATTACAACTCTGTTTGGTCCACAAGGGAGGGTTCCTGAGGGAAATATCTGGCTCTTTAGCTGCCAAATGCTGGTTAGCAAGTTGCTAACACTGTCAGACTGCTGTTCAGTGCTGGGTGGTACGCAGCGTAGGGTTTAGCACCACTGCTTGTTTGAACTATGGACGTATAAAGAGAACTAGATACAGCGTTGAAGGGTATTCCATTCATTCTTATGAAAGCTGCTCAGAGAAGCCCAAAAACCCACTTCCCACTATAAAGAATTTACCTGGATGAACTTCTGGTTTAACGATACGCTAACTTGAATCTGGATAAAATTATTTAATTGTGTAGCTTTTCTGAACTTTCAAAATGTTATTGGACTGAACTGATCAAAATCAAGTACAATGTGAGTGTTTGTGACGCTCAGAAAAATGTGACCACAGTTTTACAGCTGTTTCTTTCACAATGAAAACGTATGTGATAAATCATTTTTGGGCCAGTGTGCATCATGTGACGGACGCCACTGCTGTGATTACATGGTTTGGCCACTATGTCAAAATGGCTCCAAAGCCTGCTTCTCTTCCTGTTGGCTTGGTTTGAACCATACAACCAAAACAATGTCTGCAGAAGGAAGTAATAGATAGACCTCAGGTCCTCAGTGAGGTCTGCATTGGGACTCTTCTCACCACGTTGCTTGAAAGCCTGTTATACATACTGTCTTTGATGATCACTTTCAGAAGTGAGGCAATACCTTCGCCCTGTTTGTCCTCTTCTTCTTCTCTCCTCCTCCTCTTCATCCTTCCATTCCTCTCTCCTTGTTGAATAATAGAAATGCCAAGTGATGAGACCTCAAACATCAAAAAGCCCATTTCCTAGCTTGACAGAGCAATTTACCTTTTCCCATATTCACTCACACACATAATTAAAAGTGGTGGATTGGACTGCAGTGTATAGACTGCGTATCTGTATAGCAGCACTGACTCAGAGAAGCAAGCACACACACATACTGCGAAAACATAAAACTGTCCGATTCACTGCGAGAGGAGAGTTTTCGATTAGCGAGCGATGGATTTATATATGGCTCTCTTTGTGTCTCTGCTACACACACACACACACACACACACACAGGCAGTCTCGCCATGTTCTTT